ACAAAATTCTGATGGGAAGACAGCAAAACAAGTATTCGAGACGAACCATGCAAGTCTACGCGAAAAGGCTGAGGAAACTGTGAGATCATTGGCCAACACTGTGTTGATTGTGTCTGTCCTCATTGGTACCATAAACTTTGCTGCAATTTTTACTGTACCTGGAGGTTTCGATCAAACGACTGGAGAGGCCATTTTTCTCAAGAACCGGCGCTGGGAATTCGGCTTGTTGATGTTCTACTTAGCTGGAGGGCTGTTCTCCTCTCTGTTCACCATGGGGACTCTGCTTGTGATTATCTTTTTGCGATTTGAAATTGAGGATTTTTATCTTTCCCTGCCCTGCTACTATGTGGTGGACATGATTTCCATCTTCTACTCCGCGGTCTTCACAATCGTAGCAGCTTTTCAAGCATTAATAGTGCAGAAAGTCGTGATTACCGACTACAGGCCCCTCGTGGTGGTCTTCTTTATCTATTGTCTGGTAGCCCTTGTGCTCATGGAAACATCATATCTGATATTCGACTATGTGTATTACCTAATTCGTTATTGCCTTTGTTATAGAGGGCGAGAATCTTAAGCACTGCCCTTGCTCTTTCACGTCAATTTGTGAAGAACTTTTGCATGTCATCTATTGATTTAGGTGAATTTCCTATAGGGAAAAAACCGAGTGAAGAATGTAACAATAAACCAACTCAAATACCACTATAATGAATTTTGATATTCATCTTGAAAACCAATTAGCAATAAATTGACCAACTCAGGATTTTAATAAAAGAAAAGAAAAACTCAAAATCTTACAAATTCGACTAAAAGTTCTTGGGAAGCCAATGCCTTAGCATCTTACAAAGGTCAATACGTTTTAAAGTTTACTGATATGTTATTCTAAATTTGATAATCAATTTGCGCAGCAGTTCTCAATGCCTTTAAAGAACGAATTTTCCTTTTAAAATATTTAGCAAATCACTTTCTTTAAAGAATTTTACAAAAAGCAAAATAGACGCATACAAGAAAGCTCAGCTCCTTTCTATTGAAGTAACTTGCATCAAGTGCATTGCAAAGTCAACCGAAAATGCAAGCCAAAAAAAAAAAAAAAATCACTAGCAACCTCCCGTGACTTCGCAGTGTTTGCACATTATTGCATGACTCTCTAATATTTTAAAATATCCACATAATTCCTTGTGATTTTATGTAAAGTGGATATTTAATCATTACTATGATGAGTCTTAGCAATAGAAAGTGTAAGTGTACGCATATTTTGATCTTAATTTTTGTTATACCTAAATTATCCTTATGTCTTTTAATTAGAATTATTGCATTTCAATCGTGATACTAATAGAAAAATGAAAAGTTTTAATAAATTACATCTCAAAATGTTGGTAATTAAAATTAAAAACCACCCTCTTACAACTATATTCACCAATCATTTTCTTTATCTCCAATTATTGTATGTGTTAAAATTATCTACAATTATTATATTGTTATGCATGATAATTAAAGCTAACTATTTTGTATACATATTGGTTTAGAAGAAAACCACAATTAATAAGAAGACAATAGGTTATAAACAATTAATGAGAAAACAAAAGGTTAAATTGATGATTAAATTCACTATATTATGTCATATTGAATAAGAAAACTTCAAAAAAAATTATTGATAATTGTAAAAAATATAACAAAAAAGGCTTACAATTACTGAAATTGATAAAAAAATTTTGTAACCAACTCATAATGTTTTAGTATATTTTTTGGTTAGGTTTTGTTGTATACACTAATTTGATAGAACATAGAAAATTTCCTCTTCTTATTGTCACAATCCATGTAAAATAAGTAACAACTTAGTTTAGATATGATAATCTTCCATTTTCAGAGTTCAATAAACTTTTAATTGCTTTGTATAAAATAAGCATTTTTTACAACTAACAATTGCTTAATTTTGTTTATTAGCCAATATTATATTAACAATTTAGTTTAAATATCATAATATTCCATCTTCAAAGTTTTTATAACTGTAAAATGTACAATAAACTTTGCTTTTTGTTTTGTACACAATAAACATTTTGTACAATTACCAATTACTTAATTTTGTTCATTATATAGTATCTTAATTTATATTATGCCAATAATATAACCCAACTATGATATTTTTGTAGCTACTAAAATTTGGATTGAACTTTATAACAATTGTTAATATTATCATGTTTTACCAAAGGTGTTGTGATTACCATTAAATTATAAAATTGTACTTTTTTGTACAGTTCAAAATAAATGTTGTTGAGAAGAAAATATAGATGCACACATCAAGTATGCATATGAGAGGCAAATCTAATTTGCAAGTGCTACTAAAATTTTAAAAGGGGCATTAGAATACAACATAAATTGACTTGTTAGATCTTTATCATTTCAATTATTGTATTGTGCATCTACTTTCCTGCCCCTATGACTTTGCTAGCTCATTTATTAGTTGGGGTTGAGATATGTCTTTTTCCTATTGAAAATAAAACCTGTGTGTATTTCTAGTGAAATTATCATATTTTAATAATTAAAAAACTAAGATTTGGCTAAATTATTAAACACTTCATGAATAGTATTTGCAATATCAACACTTATCAATACAGACCATTTAATTGTAAAATTACAATCGGTTAATTATATAAGAATAAAGTATGTGAATGGTATTTGTTTTTTCTTTAGATTCAGGTTTTCTATAATTTTCATTTCATATAAAACCTAATTATTTGTAGAGTAGACATTATTATTTTTCACTTAATATGGGTAGAATGAGTTAGCTTTTTGATAAAGTTCTTTAGTATGAAGTTATCTGCACTATTTTTTTTAAATTTTTTGGCACCACTTTTAATTTGTTTACATACATACCTTTTGTATATAAACTCTTTGTAATTATATAATTCACAAGGGAATTTTTAATCCATTATATTTAATTATTTATGTGTAAATGTTCATTGTCATCAATTAAGATTTCATTGATAGAAGTAGATGGATATTCTCTATTTCATTTTTCTTCTATTGTTTTTATAATTTTGTTTGAAGACAATGCAACATAAAGCACAAACAACAAATATTCCTTTTTCCTCCTAATTTTATAATGGCATGTTCAATATGGATACATTTAAATTAATTCATGAATGTTTTTTCCCTTTTGTCTTAGAAGAAAAAACTCTAATATGATATGAAAATCAGTTAGTTGATTATAGGTGAAATATAAGAAAATCTTTTGTTGTTTGCTTGGGTTTGGGTGACATGTACTCTCATTCAATTAAAACTAAATTGTTTGCATATTTGTTAGTTGCATGAATGCTTTAAGTGCTCTCTTTCATGCCTTGTTAGTTAGTTATTCAATTTTTCCATTTTTATATGAATTTGAATGAGATAAAGTGAAGTATAATATTCATTGAATTTGGAAATAAATCTACGTAATATGTTAGCTGAAATGCTAGTGTTAACCTACTCAAAGTACTAGATAGAATAAGGATCTGACTACTTTGCATAAAATCATAGAAAAATTATGTGGATATATGCACGTAATGTGTTAGTTGAAATGCCTGTATTAACTTACTCAAAGTACTAAACAAAATAAGGTTCTGACAACTTTGCATAAAATCATAGAAAAATTATGTAGACATGCAAAACCACCACTTTAGATGAAATTCAAGATTTAGTAAGAATCATGTAACAACATGCAAAATCACAATCGGTTCTCAATAATTTAACCCAAAAAAAGGAGTGAACCGTTCTGACTATTTAAACATTGAAAACTCAAAAGCTAGTTAGTTGACCTTTTCTCAAATCAATATTCAGCACTAAGTTATGGACCATGGAGTATCGACACTAATTGACTATTGTTATGTGTGGCTTTCTCCCACATTGTAAAGGGGGTGTTTCTCTTAATTGGCTATAAAAAGAGTGGGTATGTGATGGGATTAAGTGCACCAAACAAAGAAAGTTTTAGTAAATTATTTGGATCTTTGGGTCATTAAACCTTTTATTAAATAAAATATTTTGGACTTTCTGGTGTTTTAACTATTAGGTATTTTGGATCTAGGAGCACTTTTTTAAGACATTTTTTTACTCTCTTTTTCATAGTAAAATTTTACGAACCATATAAATTTCTATGTTTCTATTTTATTTATTTCTGCCTTGTTATTTGTCTTTTGAGATTACCAAAAACTCTTTTGTCAATTTCTTGGGATCAAACTTAACAAACTGGTATTAGAGATTTTCGGAAGCTTTGAGTTTTGTGTCAACAATATCAATAACAAAGACTGTTGCCGAGAAATTCGATAGGAATATTAACTTTGGGAGATGGCAGCTCAAGATGGTGGCCATTTTCATTCAAAATGGAGTTGATTTAGCGATACAGAGAGTGTGACAAATGCAAATTTTGCTGAGATGGATAAATAGGCTCGGTCTAGTATTATCTTAAATCTTTTTGACGAGATTTTGTGGGAGGTAGCCACTGAAATTTCGGTAAAGGTCATGTGGGACTGTAGACACCAAATTTTTTCCAAAAAATTTTATTAAGTTTTTATTATGTCTTTGTTTATATTATTATTTAAATAATCATTTCATTTTTTTTATTTTTGTAGGAAAAAAGAAAAGAAAAGAAAAAGGGATTTTCAAAATTTAAAAAAAAAAAATATATATATATATAGTAGAAATTTCCTTTTGCTTTAACCCAACAAAATTTCTCCAAAGCCCAAAACAAAACCCAAAAAAAATTTGGAAAAAAAAAAAAACAAATAAAAGAGGCCCAATTGGCCCATTTCTCCTTTTCTCTTAAAAAAAATCTTTCTTTTCCCCAAGATTAGCTTGTACAAATCCAGCTCACTACTTCCTAAAATTTTATCCACAAGATCCATAAAAAAATGACACCTCATGAGGTTCTAGAGTTTTCTCCTCATTTTTCTTTGTTTCTTTCTTTTTCTAGATTTTAGGGTTTCTTGACCTCATATAAATAGAAAAATGTAGCTTTAGGGTTAGGAAGAGGGGAGGAAAAAGAAAGTCGGCTGATTAAAATCTGGGGTGAGAGAGAAAGAAAAAGGGAGAGGAAAAAAAAAGGAAGAAAAAAAATTTCTGCAGACAAGTAGCAGGGCTGATCGAGCAGTCATGTTTGGATGCCATTTTCTCCTTCATTTTAGTCTCCTTTTCATCGATTATTTTTTTTCTGCATATTTTATAGATGTTGGAGAAAAACTTTCATGTTGTAGATTTCATGAGAGAACAGTTTAAAGCTGCCAAATCTGATGCCAAATTTGGAAGAAAACCAACCCTGGTATCCGAAACTCTTGGAGTTTGGAATCAAATCTGCAGCCTCAAAGTCCGTTCATTTTGATTCATTTCTGACTGATACATCCAGGTAGATGTTCTTAAACTTTGGTCCCTCTATTTGTCTCGTTGGATTGTGGTTTTGAGGGAGTTCCTTGCCATGTTGGGTTCATTTAGGGGTCAAAAGAAATAGAAACTTTTTTAACTGATTAAATATTTCAACTTTTCCTTGATGTTCCAACCCTTGGGCATGGGAAGAACCCGTGGATTTTTGTGTATACATTTGGATGGAGTTTCATGAAAATTTTGGTTTGACATTTTATGCAGATATATTGCGAAACTTGCAGCCTTGTTCTGGGACTTCAAATTTGATTTTGATCTTTATGTTGATTGGAACCTTGTTTGAAACTTTAAACATGCTCTTGATGTTGCAAAAATCATTTTTATGTAAAAACTATGTCAAAAGTCACCGAAAAGGCTTACCCATTGATTTCTGATTTTTTTTACAATTTGCCCCACTGACTTTTCCATAATTACACTAAGGCCCAAAACTTGTGAAAAATGAATCAAATCTGCCCTCTTCAAGTTTTGATCCTCTTCGGCATATTTTATTTTATGTATGTTTTCGAGTGATTTATTTCTGGATTTTAGGAGACAAATAGGGTCTAAGCATTTTGTTTGCTTTTATTTTCTTTGGATTATAACATGGACTTTGTAGCTAAAGCCCAACATTTTAATTGGATTTGCTTACCCAAATAAACGGACTAGCCTGTTCTTTTTCTGGATTTTTTTCGTTGGGCCAAGGGAGTTTAGGCCTAGGAAATAAACAAAAAGGGCTCGATGGCCTTTTACGTAAGAAATCGGAGATGGATTTTTCAGTTTAGTCCCCTAATCTTTTGAGTAATTTCATTGTAACCCTAATAACTTTGAATTTCTTTCAATTAGGTTCTTAATTTAATTATAATTTGATCCCTAAATTTTATCTTTTATTCAATTAGTCCACTGACCTTTCTAAAAATATAATTTAACCCCAAAAACTTTTAATTTTTATAATTGGATCCCAGATAGCTTTGATTTCTTAAGTATAATTTGTCTATTTTCCTTAATTGTTAATCATGACTCATTTAAATGCATTTAATTAGTAAATTTTAGGAATTTTATGATTGTTTATATTTCTTTATAATAATGAAGTGAATTTGTCATATGTTTACACTTTCTTTTTAATTGTTAATTAAATTGGTATTTTGACAATTTTGTTGGTTTTGAAGTATAAATAGGACAATTCTACCTCATTTAACCACTATTTCAAGGCAGATACTTTTATTATTATTTTAAATCCTTCTTATGTGCTCCTATGTATTTTTTATGTGTGATTGCATGTATTGAGTGTTTTTTCTTGTATTTACTTATTTTTTCCATTTTAAATTTTTATTTATTAAGATTTTATTTTTTCCAAAAATGTAATTAGTTAGTTGAATGTAATAGTTAAGTTATTATTTTTGAGTGTTTTTTCTTGTATTTACTTATTTTTTTCATTTTAAATTTTTATTTATTAAGATTTTATTTTTTCCAAAAATGTAATTAGTTAGTTGAATGTAATGGTTAAGTTATTATTTTTCAAATTCCCCCTTAGATTGTAGTTAGGGTTTCGAATATAATAGTTGGGTCTTTATGTGCGTTCATTTTCCTTTTTCAAGTCTCATTATTTATATTTTTCATGACCTCTTCAAGAAATCAATTTTGGATTTCATAATTAATGTGATTGATACCAATTAAACTCTGAAGATACATTTCGACCCTTTTGATATTCCTTAGGTTTAGACTTACATCCATATAGAAACATCTAAATATGATAAGTTTTATATGTTAGATTAGGAAAATTTTCAACTAAATCTCGCAACTAGTCTTGATTAGGTTGAAAAGGTGTCTTAAATTAAATTTTTGTCTTCCCTTTTTTCAACCGTAACTCCTGAACTCTTTACTCTTGTTTTCAAAGACCCGGTGTCATCTAAAAAGGATTTTTATCTATTTTTTATTTAACATATATTTTGGATGATTTGGTGCACTAAAAATTCTTTTTAGACTATTATTTGGGCCCAAACGGTCGCATTTTTAAGTCCCATTTTAGGCTATTTTTCTTTATTTTCTAAAATCAAAAACCAATTTTTAAATACGCCAAATCCTCTCTTTTATTTATTTATTTTTTTAAAAAAAGGTGCGACCGGGACAAATTTAAAATTTTGTATATGAGGAAGACAGTTGAGAATAGACTCTTTTTACAGCAAAGTTTGTACATGTTTCGTATGACTGAAAGTAAATCTAAACTCTCACATCTTGACAAATTTGATTTAATTATTATGGATTTAGAGGATATAGATTCAAAAATCGATAATGAGAATCAGACCCTATTACTTTTGTGTTCCTTTCCCCAATCTTTTAAATATTTTCACAATACTAAAATTTATGGAAAAGAAATAATTTTGTATCGAAAAATTAATTCTGCATTAAAATTTAAGGAGCAGATAGATAGGGATATTATGAAAAAAATTAATGGAGGTTAGGTGGAAGGTCTGGTTGTTAGGGGCAGAATCGAAAAAAGAGAAATTGACAGTAGTAGATCTAAATCTAGATCTAAATCCAAATATAGAAATTTGGGGTGCAATTATTATCATAAAATGTGCCACATAAAGACAAATTGCTTTAAATTAAAAAAATTAAAGCAAAAGGAAAAATCTGGTGAGAAAAGTACCGAGACTGCCGAAACTTGTGTTGCAACTAATGAGAATAAAGAAAATATTTTCTTTGTGATTGATGACAGGATAAGGTCTAAACATGAATAGATTTTAGATTCAGAGTGCTCTTATCACATGTGTCTCAATAGAGATTTGTTTTCCACTTACGAACTTTGTAATGCTAGCATTATTTTGATGGGCAATAATGTTATTTGTGAGGTTATTGGTAAGGGTATAGTTCGAATTAAAATACATGATGGTATTATGAGTACGCTCACTAATGTTAAATATGTCCCTAATTTGAAAAAGAATCCCATCTCTTTGGACACTTTGGAGACTCTTGGGTGTATATACACAATTGAAAATGGTGTTATGAAGGTTTTCAAAGGTGCTCTTCTTGTTATGAAAACTTGCAGGTTTGGTAGTTTATATGTTTTGCAAAGATCTAGGGATCTACTGTCAGAAGTTCGGTTGCAATTTCGTTATCATCTTTATCTGATTCTAATATCATTAAATTATGGCATATTCATTTGAGACATATGAGCGAGAAAGGTTTGGACATACTAAACAAAAGGAGACTTCTTTGCGGTTAGAGTAATGGGTCACTGGAATTCTGTGAACACTGTGTCTTTGGCAAGCAAAAAAAAGTTAGTTTTAATTCACTAGCAATTCATAAGATGAAAGGTACTCTTGATTATATTTATTCAAATTTATGGGGTCCATTTTGTATTTCATCTAAGGGTGATGCTAGGTATATGTTGACTTTCATTGATGATTATTCAAGAAAAGTTTGGATTTATTTTCTTAAACATAAGAATGATATTTACCTCTAACAATAAATATTTTTTATTAAGAAACAAACAAGTAGACAGAACAAGCAGTTTAGAACAGATAATAACATGAAATTTTGTAATGGTGAATTTGATGAATTTTGCAAGAATGAAAAAATTGCTCGGCATCGCACTCTCAGAATGATGTCTCAACAAAATGGCATGGTCGAACGTATGAACAGAATACTTTTAGAGAGAGATAAGGTGTATGATCTTTAATGCTGGGTTGACAAAGAACTTTTAGGCAAAGGCAATCTCTATGGCTTGTTATATTGTCAACCGTGCTCCTACTGTAGCCCTTGATTTCAAAACTCTTGAAAAAGTCTGATCAGGTATTCTTGCTAATTATTCTGATTTAAAAATTTTTGGATGTTCAACATATATGTATGTGAATGTTGAAAAATTATAGTCTCGAGCAAAAAGTGCATTTTCTTTGGGTATACTTCTGGGGGTAAAAGAGTATAGATTGTGGTGTTTTGATTCCAAATTTTTAAAATTTATAATCAATAGAAATATTACTTTTGATGAACTTTTTATGTTATCTTTCAAGGAGTGTTCTAGTTCTTGTCATGTATATGATAGTATGCAGAAATAGATAGAGTTTGAGATTGATAGTTCTGGTCCTATTCAACAGTTATCAATAGATGCATCTGAATCTACTTATGAGAATAATCCTAAAGAGGAGCAATATTTTATAGCCAAAAATAAATCGAGGGATATTCGACTACCACAAAGATATGTAGATTTGATTGCATATATTTTGTCTGTTGTAGAAGAAACTGATGGAGTTGGTGACCTACTACATATTTAGAGGCAGTTTCTTATGATGATTCTGCTAAATGGTTGATTTTAATGAATGAAAAATTGGGTCTCTCTATCAAAATAGAATTTGGATTCTTGTGAAACTGTTTTCAGATAAGAAAACTATTGGATATAAATGGGTCTTCAAAAATAAAGAAGGTATTATAGGATTTGAAGATGTAAGGTATAAAGCACGGTTAATTGCAAAGAGCTATAGTCGAGTACACGGTATTGATTTTAAAGATGTATTTTCACCTGCTATTAAGCATAGCTATATTCATATTTTGCTTGCTTTAATTGCGATATATGATTTGGAGTTGGAGCAGTTTGATGTTAAAACAACTTTTTTATATGGTGAATTTGAAGAGAAATTTTATATGAAATAATCTCAGGGATTTGAATTTGAGGGAAAGGAAGACTATATTTGAAGAAATCCTTATATGGATTGAAACAGCCTTCAAAACAATAGTATAAGAGATTCGATACTTTCATGTTGGGTCATAATTATTCAAGGTGCATGTATAACAATTGTATTTACTTCTGAAAGTTAGATGATGGTTCTTTCATGTATCAAGAATTTGTTAGAAATTCACACTTTAAAGTTGCAGTTAAGCAGTGAATTTGAAATAAAACATTTGGAAGTAGTTAAGAAAATTCTTGGCATAAAGATCAAGAGAGATCGAGGAGTTGAAAAGTTATTTTTAACTAAAGAAAATTAAAAATTATTT